CAGTGGAGATCGTTTATCATCATCTGACCAGAAAAGGTCAGCATATGGTGTGAAGTTAGATGACATTTAAAGAGAGGAGATGTATTTTACATGACTAATGAAGTGTACACAATACAGTACGGGACAAAGACGGAATTAATCCGAGACTATAGTGTTACTGCTGATAAATTTGTTAGACATTGGTGCTGAGAACAGGACCATAGTCAACAATATTAGAAGGTTTTGCAGCGCATTTAAAGGTGGGAGGGTGAGTTTAATTGACAGAATGTGTGAAAGCTGCTGTTTAAATGAAGTTCAGATCTTAAAGTATGTTTAGAAGTCACAAATCTAAAAAATACTACATATTTACTCCATGATCATAACGGCATTGTCCTTGCAACTCAAATGCTTTAAAGATTTTCAAAAGTTTAAAAATTAAACATAAAATCATTTATAGCCAAGTAAATAAATGCATAAAAATATCTTCCACCGAAACATCGATATTGACTTTAAAAAACAAAACTTAATAAAGACAGGGTTAACAGGAAGTTACATGAATACATAAAAGGTAATATACACACTGACATAAAAATGTCATAGATCGAGTTGCCATTACCACTTCAACACCCCCGTATAACATTAAATGCGATTTGCTTGTAAATTCCCTGTGTATGTATGTTGTTTGAATGGTGTTTTTCCACATTTGGTGGCCTTATTTATTACATATATAGCCTAAATAACGCCACAGAACAGAAATAATCTTATATGTTTCATTTACTAATGTGTTGTTGTACGTGTTCACATAGTAGACTTGACAATTGGGACTTTTCCCTCAAGGCCTCACCATACTTTTACAAGTTTTATTGCCATTTAGCGAATTTAGCTTGAAATATTGTATTAAGTGTATGATATACATTACATACTTAATTTCAATTAAACTTTACAAATTACATAAAAATATTAATAAAAAGTTATTTAAACTTGGAACAAATTTGATATCAATTATCCGCTTAAAATATCAATGGATTCAAATGAGTTTTGATAATAACTGGCGGGAAAAAAGGAGAACAAAATAAATTTCGAACATCATCAACGTGTTATTATATACACGTATAGAAAGGATTTTTAGTTTTTAATATCACTTTTGATATTCTTTATGCACGGAAATGTGTTTCTTATCTAAAACTGTTATTCTAGCAACATACATTAACATATAAGTTTTTACTTAAATACAAATTCAACAATATGAACTAAACAGCATATTCCAAAAATCAAATTTTGGGTTATTTTGAATAACACTTTATTTAGGCGTTTATGTACATGTTCATTTAGGAGTTGTTAATGTTCAACTATATATTTAAATATTACTATTAAAACAAAGTGAAACTTTTGTTCTAATGCGGGCATGTTTTCACAAAGATGACGGCATATCAAAAGACATGGTTCTATGTTTGCAGAAGATCATGTGACCTTAAAAATGGGCATACAACAGCTTTTGTTAAATGAGAGCCTACTTCGACGGTCCTTTTTAAAGTACCATCCCTTGCTTTTCGAGAGGACTATAAATATGCAAAAGGAATAAGCGAATTGACATGCACTTACAGCAAACAAAGACAGGAGCCATAGTCTCGACAATGTTTGTTCTACAAAGAAAAACATACAAACGCGGGAATATCCGTGTCTATGACCATATAAATATGGGCCTAGTTATGTCTACATGTTGCCTCTTTAAAACAATACACTTATTGATTTCATAAATGGTGAAAAAATTGGTTTAAAAACGTGATGGTGGACGCTGACGTAATGTGAAAATCGCATCCGGCACCCACACAAATAAAAAAGATGAATACGGGCTTAAGTTAGAGCTGTACTCACTGATGGAGACGCAAAATTACAATCTAACGCCTAGATGTTATGTCATTTGCTCACCCTTTATATTTTTTTTGCTATTGATATTCTATAAATAATTTTCATATAACTTTTCAAAATCAAATAGTTATCAAAATCTTAAATAGTGTACGAGGTATTTCTGCTTCATTTATTTTTTAAATAAAAGGTATTATTTATCTTTTTATTATCATATACTTATTCGCATATCTTTAAAAGATTTTATGCTTCTTTCAGAATTCAGTTTAAATTTCCTGCAATAAATCAATAAATATTTACTTATTTGATTTGAACTTCAACAACACAGTTTTTCTTTATGATGTAGACGATTTTATGCATGTCCATATAGCTTGTATTCTTTTCTTAAATATTAGCCATTTACAAATGCACTATATGCAGAATATCAAGACGAAAAGACAAAATTTTCATAGAAGATTCGCAATTTAGAGAGAGAAAACGAAACTACCGCCCGTTGATTCTATTTCGGTCATATGCCATGTTCTAATAAGCACTTGTGTCAAACAATGCATTGGACTTGAATCCACTTGAAGTGAATGGTCCCCGGCGTTAAATAGACAGTATTAGCTGTTACAAGTTTACAAATATTACCATCGGTGATTGCCACATGCTGTCTTCTATTACTAGGGTATTAAGACAGTGTCTTTTCTACTTTAGCAACAATAAGGAGATTTTCTTTGACGCGAAAAGCGACATTGATACGTTTGAATTACGCGTTTTCGTTTGAAGCGAAACCAGCGCGCTCGAACTTTGCTGTGCATTTGATTTGATTTGTGAATGAAAATTAAAATAGTTTACACCGTGTGTTTTACATCATTTTCTTACAAAACAAACCCGAAAAAAAGAAAAACAAATACGTCGAAAATTTGAACGTCAAGATCAAAGTGCGATGTCAAGTTAAATGCAACAATGAAATAGCTGCAAAGTAACCTTTTTTTCAACAAATGTTAACGTTAGAACGACATCAAACCGTATGCATTGCGATACAGGGAAGTTTTGACCGAAAAGGGAACTTTTTTTTCTTGCTTTCAAAGGTGCGCGTGAGTCAGATTCATGGGCGATGATAAGTTTAATGTACATAAATGTCTTTACTTTTCAGACGTGAAAAATAACAATATCGTAAAGTTAACAATCTTTGATATCTTAAGAAGTGACGAAGATGTAATTTATGAAACAAACTATAATTGATATTATGAAATATTCAAAGAACAATTATTAAAAGACAATTAAAATCATTGTAAAATTGAAAGGAAAAACGCATTATTATTTGTGATTCTTATTTTTATTATTTATTTATCATTATCATTTATAATTCTGTATTTTTTACTTTTCAAGTTACTTTTATTCATTCACAAAAATAAGATTCAAGGAATTAATTTTAAGATTTCTTTTTTATATTCTTATTATGATGTTTCTAGAGATATTAAATTAAAATTTATAGTTTTGAACATCGCATAAGCATGTATATGTGCATTAAATAAATCGTAGATAATTTAAATCCCAGTTTATCTTTGTGAAATATATATTTGAAATTCTATTTTAAAATAACTGATTGATATTTTCTTTCTCTTTCTGACATTACTTTTATGACACGACTAAAAGAACAATAAATACGTCATTTAACGAACCAAAAATATTTGTTATAAAATAACATAATTGATAACACAATAAATTAATTATATTCTCTTAGTTTGTGTTCATTAAAAAACCTATATCTTAATTTTTCCATTCTTCAGGTTCTGAATTTTAACCAAAACTAAGAATATTTTAAAGAACAATATGAACATTATGGTACATCAGTAGAAATAAAATTAAACATATTATATCTGTCAGAAGATCTTCCTATTGACAAGACGACAATCATTGTTTGATAGGGCCATCTTTATTATGGAAAAAGTCAATGGTTTTAGGCCATATTTTTCTTCCCTGATCACTTCCTCTTATCAGATTTGTTTCATAAAAGCTCTCATTATTGGCGTATTGTTGCGAGATATTTATCTCTTTAATAAATAAACAAAGATGGTATATTCCTCCGTTTCTATCACCTTCAAAGGGAGAAAGCGGCAGATTTTACATGTCTAGATAATGATGGTTGTAAAAGATTCCCCGTAATTGCAATTTCTTCTAATTTGTGATGTCTCTTTGATACCGATCGATTTTAATTAAGAATTTAATCACTTCATAATGACGAAATTTGTCCCCAATTTTTGAACAATAGAATAAAAATGTTTATCTTTTGCATTCGCCCAAAAATGCTTACTTATTTTATCAAATTAAAAACATTGACAGATCAAAGCAAAATAAAGATACTAAACATATTTATAAACATTGATAATTGAAAAAAAATAATTTATCTCTTTATTTTTGTGGTTTATCTTTAGATGTATAAAAAAGCAAAACAAAATATAATTAGTTCTTTCTAAAAAAAAAACTTTTGCACTTGAATAGCCAGTATATTTTTCATCAATAGTCATCAATACATTTATTTTTCTGAAATTTACACCTATGTTTTTAGCTTTGCCTTTTGAATATCATTTAATAAATAATTCTTTATTTCTATATATATATTAAACTGTAATAAACTAAAGAAGATATATTTTAAATACGTTTATATATGAAACTATAATAATCTAAAATAATATGTATTTTATTTTTTATGTAAATAAGATATTTTCAATTTTGTTTCTTTGTGATGAAATATAATATTTTGAAATATAATAATAATCATAATTATAATAATGTCCGTTGAATTTGGGCGTAGGGATTAACATATTTTAACAGCAGTGAAATATACTTTAAATTATTCCTTATAAGGTTACCATTCTTACTTCTCTGTAGTACAAGAAGTTTCCCTCATTTAGTAACAAATGAAATAGAATAAATATCATTTTAAACACCCTTTTGAAACTTTGACAAGCAATTAAATCGTAAAAATATAAAAGATTACTTTATTTTATTATGGTGGATACCACATGCAATTGCATTGAATCGTTACAGTTTTAAAAACATATATTTATGTTTCTTACATTTCTTGATATATACAAAAGTTATCAGACTCTAAAATGTGTACTTATTATTAATCACTTGAAAATAGTTTTTTTAATGACAAAACTTACCTTGTTTACCCGGATTCCTTTTAATCTGCATCCACCTAAACGGCTTGGCTTGTAAACTTTGGGGTGAGGGGGACTCTGATTTCACCGGTGAGGGGGGTGTCATCTGAGGGAGGTAGGCTGTATGACTTCCATTTGGTATTGAGCACTGTCCCATAGAATCAATGCACGGGCTCCCGTACACCGATCTTCCGCCGCCTGGGGAATGGGGTGGTATGCCCCCATGTGAAGTTTGTGAGTCGCAGTTAATTGCCGCAAGTCCTGTATAAGGGTCCAAACACTGAGCCAATTGGCCGTCTATTTCTTGATATCCCGTGCCCCGAACTCCCCTCCCCATCATAGAATTATTTCCATTCACGTTATAATTTACATTTTGATGTTGAGAAACCACATGTCCATTTACTAGTGACAGGTCCACACCGCCATGTGATAAATTTATGTTGCTATTATCCGTGTTATAGTATCCATGTTGTCCAGTATCTATAGAACGACTATTCATAGAGTACCCGTAGATAGACCCCGTACCGTCCTGTGTATTTACATTGTATCCCGTCCCGTAAGAATGCGCATCTAAATTGCACAATGTATAATCACCCTCAGTATTCATCATCTTTGATAGCTCTTGATATTCTTAAACAATCGCTATTCCTTGTCAATTCCTAAGACTTAAATTGCTTGTCTCGTCCTAGATGAATCTGAAAATAAATGAAGGTAAATTACGACGTGAAAATGACAACATTAGTAAAACCCATCCAAACCACGTGCTCCGCAGGAGCCAATCAAATATCTGCTTCAGGCATGACCGATGAAAGTCCTATTTTGATAGATGTAGCAGTGATGTATGGCTCTAAGCATTTCTGTTATTTTTTATATTTGAAGTCAAACTGTTTCGAACGCCTAAAGTTATTTTAATAAAAATACTGCAATAGTTTACAAGGTTTTACGATTACACGCGCGCTAGTCCAGTCACTCTCGCGTTTTTAACGTTGATTGTCGACCGAGCGGAATAGTTAACTATGACGAAAATCGTTTGTTTTTATTGACACTTTGAATAAAAAGTACCTCCTCAGAATCTGACACTTGTCTTTCTTATGCCGTACGACTTAGCGCATCGAGTGATATTTACGTGTAAATTTTATTGCTGTAGCTAACACTAAAGCATGTCCGAATATGACTCTTTATGAAAGTGATATTGAGAAATTATACCGAAGATCGTATGAATCAAACTGTCTCAAACGTGTTTCCCCTTTTGACGAAGAACTCAGGCGTAACCAATGCGTTTTTTTTGTTTACATCATGCTGGGACTGAACGCTGTAAAATGCGGCTTGGTGATTTTTTTTATCGAACGCTTAAATGTAAGTTTTGATATATGTCGTTTTTATTCAAATGCGCACAGCAGTCTGGAAACAAAAGTCACGGATAAAATGCTTTTAACCATTTTTAGTATAATCTTTACCAACCCTAGAAATCCATATTATATATCAACAATTTGCCTATTTAAGTAGTTAAAAAAAATAAAGCAAAAAAAATATATAGATAAGTAAAATAGATATTAAAAAAAATTAAACTGGAGACTACACGACCAACTGTAAATATATCTAAAACAGAAAACATATTCCAGTTCAAAACATGTAAAAAGAATAAGTAAGATACTTGTTTCTTTATTAAGATGGATATATACCAGTTTTCGAGTTATGAAGTACATTTTCTTTTCAAATTATATCATCACAATTGGTGCTTGCCTAAGTTCGAAATTTAGAAGAAAATATAATTATATAATTATATTATATAACTTGAATAATCTAATGTTGCCTACAATCCTTTAAAACTTGAGAAACATCATTATCATAACACTTAAATGTTCAATTCACAACATTTTTTTACTTTTTTTTGTGTTCCCTATACGTGTCTCAAACTTAGTTTACATGAATATAAACATGCATATAAACCAAATAAAAATGACTTATCCCTCGGAATGAACTGGTTTTCAAGAAACAAAGTTCCAAAACTAATTTTGAGAAACGAAAATTTAATTCTGTTGCAAGAAACATTTAATTTTATGTAAGCTGCATTGTTTCTATAAATCAAACAACACGAACATATATTTATTCAAAACTTACACATTCTATTATAATTACCGCTAAATTTATAAGGAGAAAGGAAACATATAATTATCTACGGAAACACATTGTAAAAGAGATTGAATAACAATCACTTAAGATTCAATTATTTACATTCTACAGGTCCTCCACTGAACCACCCCTACACCGCTTTTTAACAGACATTTTGTATCCATATTGGCCAAGTGGTGCTATCATTACAACTTCGAAAATGGTGTCAAAGTCAAACCAATATAGAATATCTTATTAAACCAGTAATTTGAAAACCTTGTCTAAAGTGATCGTGCTTAAATATTATGAGTTTGACCTTTCGGGCGTGTAAAATGTCAATATTTGATATAGCTCAAGTATCTATATGTTTAACTAAAAGTTATTTTTAACACAACATATTAATTTATTTGATATAATATGAAACAATTGAGCTTTACAAAATTGATCTAAAGCTTATGTCTTAACCATTTTTCAAACGAACAATGGCATTGCATTAATATGCACATCTTTGTTTGCCTAATAAGGTTGAGTTTGGCCTAATAAGGTTGAGTTTGATTCAGTACCAAATGTGATATTTGCTTGTATACATGTACATTTTATTTTCATTATTATTTTTAAAGATTTTTGGTGATAGAGAAAAGCCCGTACGATTTATTTCTGTATCATATTATAAGGCCTTATTTTACGTACACACGTTTTTTTACAGTCAAATGCTAAATCTATTATAATATGAATATGACATAACTTTATTCCATCGCTGAGACCTCTTTCGAACACTTCTTGTGGACGTCGTGGAAGGACAATATCTCATTCATTTGATCAGAAGTATAAGTTTGTATAACACATTAGGTGATAAGAAAATTCATTAGGTTAACATTCGACCGATCAGACATTTTATATATCATAAGCGCACACTGACTAATTATCGAACATAAATTATTAATGCCTAAGGTATTTGATGACTTCGTTATGTGTTTGACAGCTAGAGTCTCCGTTTATATTCGGATCAAAATATGACCTAAATATTTAGCGCTTACAGCAAAATGTGTTATAAGACCAAACTTGAATACAGACGATCAAACTTCTTGTCCGAAAATTATTAATATTTAGCAGAATTATATACATTATACATACACACAAGTATGTTGTGTCGGTGCTCAAAATTTCACTTTTTTCAAAACACACCTGCATCACATACTTATTGAAATGTATTCATTTTTGACGCAGAAACGTACATGTAACACAATTGGTGATCTTCTCATAACATAATTAACTAATTCTATCTAATAAAAATGATGATTTCATAAAAACAAGATAATTTGGTATCAAAATGACAAGGTTCTAAACCTTCCATAGTTCAATCCGAAACAACTGTCTAATCATTTGGCACAAATACATATTTATTTCGTTCTTGATAAACCAATCGCTTCGTTAGGTGCCAAATGAAATGATTTGCTGAACAATTTTAAACGAAACATAATTCGTATCTGGAACTAAACTTGATAATTAAAAGGATCGATAGTTGTTGGTAGCATATATAACATAAGTATAGTACTTTTAATTAAATTCATTTCTATTTCTAGAAACACCAAATTGAATAACAAAATGCAATGAATATGCCCTTTCATAGAGGACATGAATGAGCATAAGTTCCATACTTTATATATCGAACGAGATGAATAAAATTATATTGTACGAGCCTGTGGCGAACACAATATATTTTCGTTATCCAAGAAGTTAAATGAATTCAGCAAATAAACTTTACGAATATAACATTACTTTTATCATATCCCAAAAAAAGAAGTCAATTGGCGCGCGTTTAACTAATATTTAGCTTGTCTTATCGCTATAATTTTTAACATGTATCACTAAATTAATGTCATCGTAAATGCGCGGCCGTGCCATACCGTTTTATGGCTACGGGAAAGTGGCACGGGTACATGAATGTAATGTTTGGTAAATATGTGACTCGGGCGGTTATTTTTTTACTTTTGTTATTTAATGTTAAGTAAGAAAATATATAATTTTTAAATATGTCTATATAATCCAAAATTTTGAAAAAAACTAGAGATTTTTAAAATAAACAAAGACAGCAATGCAATAACAAAAATAGAATGCTTGATTTTAATTCATCTCAACATGAGCTGCAATGCGTTGCATACCCCCCCCCCCAGCACAGGCTAAAGTAACATCAAATTTAACAATGAAATATTCGGAATCGTGCAAAAAATTGTTTTAACATTTAAGACAAATGAATTCAGATTAGTACTTTTAATATACCCAAGCGTACATGAATATTTTCCGTTCTTATGGTCCTTCCCGTTCTATCAACACCCCCTTTCACCGCCATAAAGCATTGGCAAATGTCTGACATCAAAAAGACTCCAAACACGAAACCAGACAAAATTGCCTCAACATGTCTTCTTAACAATTTCGTTTTGATAACTTCCTTCTCAATTTACAATGTCATTGCGCAAGGATATCTTTTGGTCATATTAAATGAATTTTTTTCTTACATTTTCGGAGACATTTATTTACAAAATACATATAAACGAAGTATAAAAAATGTATAAAAACGACATCATACAGTCATGACTGACAGGGAGGTATACAATTTTAATTTCCATTTTGTCGACACTAAAGCATGAATGGAAGTTTTAATTATTCAAGGTCCTTTCCAAAAATATGTTTTAGAGTGTTTACAGCAACAAATTGTCCATTAACATTTGAATAAAACAGCATTTTATACTCATAAAAGTTAATGCAATTGCATTATAAATGTAACTTTTGCACTATCAAACTGTATTTGCATCATGATAATATTTTGAGGTTATTTCTAGAACTAATGAAATCCTAGACGGACTGGCACTTTTTCAACATGACCTTTGTAACTTTATTTCTTAATGTATTTTAACCCTTTTAAAACATTGCTTTTTTCTTTTTCTATTAATTGATTTAAAAAGCACTCCAACTCAAAATGCATTTCTTTAAATAAAACCACTAGAAATCCGACAGCATTATTTACTTATTTAAGTATTCCATTTCCCCAGTTTTTTTTGTTCTCTACATTTTGCTGCAATCTCTCGCCAGCCCTTCTGGTTCCCCGACACACATGTCTCTCTTTAGTGTTGTTTTATTTTTCTGGTCCTTCGGGATCATTGATTCCAGCACTTTTAAGTATTAAGTACCGCCCAAGCCGATGCTTGAGGTGAGTGAGGGATGCTGCACTTATCATTATCCCTCATGTAAAAATTCTGCAATTTTCATGTTATTTTGTTGTGATTAATTCTTCCGAGGGATCACCCTTTTTTCTAGATTTTTGTCAGTTTCTACGATTTCATTCTTTGAATTATTAAAAATAACGCGGCGTCCATGCTTCGCCCATGTGCCCTCTCCTATTATTCTTTGGTGCCCTGCTGGGCTCCTTGCCGGCGGTGCTTTATCCAAGGATTTTAATGGGGGAATGCGTTCATTTAAAGCCGCCCTTCCTTGTTTATCTTTGTTTACATATTCCTTTCAAACTCTTCCACGCAGTTTTGTCCATTTTAGATTAACCTTAAATATTGAAATTATAGAAATGGAA